GCTCCAATCTTAACAGACACTGTACTTGACTTTAGGCTGCCTTAAAAAAATAATTTTTTTGCACTGTACAGCAATAATTATCTCATATAAAACTTGGTTCTTTTCTTTTATATATTGATATTCAAAGCGTAAGTCACAAAATACATTTACCTGTTTTGACCAATTCTTTAATAAGTTCTTCTTTCATTCTGATATTAAGGGTAAGTTCATTCATTTTTTGCTTAGCAGCAATAAGTTTTAGCTCTGAATTCTTTAACTTTTGTACATTTAGTATCTGACTTTTCTTGATCAATTCAATATCTGCACCTTTAAAGAAAGTATACTGTTTTAAGAACATATAACATATATTCTCAGAGAGACCTAAAATGTTAGACGTAAGCTGTTTTGGGACTAACAGAACAAAACTAGGCTAAGTAATTATAAAATGAATTGTATTTCTGGAGAAGAGATTTTTTTTTAAAGGTTGAAATCTATTTTATTTATCTATTGTTAAGTACAGAATGTTTATGAATGCTACTGATTATATATGAACGCAACTACAGGTAGTCCTCAACTTACAACAGTTCGTTTAGTGATCATTTGAAGTTACAATGGCACTGAAAAAAGTTTTCACACTTATGACTGTTTCAAGATTTCCATGGTCACATCATCAAAATTCAGATGCTTGGCAACTCACTTTTATTTATTACGATTGCAATGTCCATGGGGGAGGGGGATTATGAGCCCCTTCTGCAATCTTCTGACAAGCCAAGTCAATGAGGTAGCCAGATTCACTTAACTGTGTTACTAACTTAACAACTGCAGTGATTCACTTAACAACTGTGGCAAGACTTAACAATTTTTGCCCCTAAAATGGGGCAAAATTCACAACTGACTCACTTAACAATAGAAATTTTAGGCTCAGTTGTCATAAGTCGAGGATACCTGTATTTGTATCAAATATATGAATGGGGATTTCATATATAGCATAGTGAGTTATTTAAGTTTCCAGTTTGAAAACTAATGGTGTGTACATTAGCCAATGCAGACAAACTTACTTAAACTTGTTAATACAGTGTTCAAAAATAGCATACAGTAATATGGAGATGTGTATCAAAATGTCACTTATAATATGTTAATTTTTATTTGCTGGCATTCATAATGATTTACCATATTTATTGATTACAACTTAAAATGCTACATGTTTTTAATTCTCTATATAATAAAATATATTTTAATATGTCTTTAAGCTTTATTGACATGTTATATTATTCATTACATGTTTTGAATGCACTGTTAGTGTTTTTAAGCACTTGTTTGTTTAAAACTATTTTTACTGAAAGGCAGAATATACTAAAATATTAAAGAGCAAATATGTATATTCTATGAAATTTAACATAAGTTAATTTTATAATACAAATGTCATCCTCAATGATTAATTATGCATTACTTTGAATACAAGTCCATATTTCCAGAATCCCATTCCCATTTTGTTCTTTGGACTACATAAGACACAATAATAATAATGATATATCAATTTACCTTCTTTATCTGTAACAGCTTCTGTTGATGAAAGATTTCCAATTTCTGAACAGGCATTTTGTTGTACCTCTTTTCCTTCAGTTATATAGGTAAAAGGAGCCTGCTTCCGTGTCCATGTACGGTTTAAGGAACGTCTAATTAAAGCAGACATTTTTTTTTAAAAAAAAAATTAAGCTTGAGATCACAGGTAGACCTTGACTTGCAACCATTTGTTTAGTGACCTTTCAAAGTTACATCACTAAAAAAAATTACTTATGACAATTTTTCACACTTATGACTGTTGTAACATCCCCATGATCACGAGATCAAAATTTGGATGCTTGGCAACTGACAAGTACAGTCAATGGGGAAGCCAGATTCACTTAACAACTGTGGTATTAACTTACTAACTGCAGTGATTCACCTAACAACTATAACAAGAAAGTTCATAAAATGGAGCAAAATTCACTTAGCTGTCTCACTTAGCAACAGAAATTTTGGGCTCACTTATGGTCATAAAGTCGAGGACTACCTGTAATTGTAAGTATTTTTACAGTGAAAGAATGTTTTATGAACAAAACAGTGCTGTGAGTATTGCTAGTAAATAAAAATGTGATATCGATTTTCTTTTGCCGCAATTGCTATCTTGTTTATTGAGGATTCAAAGACACAGTTTTATAAGGACTATCCCATATTACAGAAATAGAACTTTCTATTAGCTATTCTGGAACTAAACTGCAATGTAGTTTAGATGGGCTACCTTCGTAAATATTTAAAAATTGCAATTATTGGGGAATAATGTCATAGCTAGGCTACTAAATGATATAGGGGAGGGAAATCAGAAAGATCCTGTGCTGAAGGATCTGCACTGGTTGCTTCTTGCCTACTAAGCAAAATTTAAAGTGCTAGTGTTTATCTTTAAAACTGTAACGAGCTTAGAACTTAACAAATTGAAGGATCATCTCTATTAACCCCCCCTTACTCAGATCAGCACAAAGAGGGCCCTTTGAAGGTCCCCCACCAGAAGTTATGGAAAACATTGTGGACTGTTCATTCAGCTTCTTACTGTCTACTATAAAATTATTGTTTCAAATTTAAATATATTTTCATAACATGAACTAACAGATATACACATTAAATATCACAAGCTCTAAGGTTATATATGATTAAAAACATACCTAAATCTGAATCTCCTTCTAGTCTTGGCATTGTTTTCATCATCATCATCATCACTGTGATCAGAAAAGCAATAATGAAGGACTTCATCTTGCTCTTCTATGTGATCCAACATGATCTGATTACGGGTCTGAAATCCAGCTATAACTTTACTTAAGGAATACATCGGAGGGCTTGTGTGTACCTTTTAAATAAGTTTTAAAAAAATAAATATTTTTATCCAGATTCTGTTTAAAAATTACTCAGTGGACAATGTAGGGCAAAATAACTTTCTATGAATCAAATCCCCATTTTTTTGGGAGGAGGTTAGGATAAGTTACTGTGTTTACATCTTAGCTTGTCCTAATAATCAGAACTATATTAGTTATTTTTATTTATTTGTCAAATCAAAAATTTGTCCAACTCCATATGACTGGGTAGTGTACAACATTAAAAATAGTAAGAACAATAAAACAAAAAGCAATGTACACCCAGAAGAGAAAACTTTCAGACTAACTAAAGAAAAATCCATAAGATATTTACCAACCATCTAATCCAGGCCTGGGGGCAAGCAGTATTTCCAGAGACTTATTAAATGAAGTGGGGGTGGGATATGAAATTCCAAGGGATATATTATAACATAGAGCAGGCATAACAGAGAAGGTAACTGTCCAAGGCTCGTTAGATGATACTATTTGATCACTGGACCTGGAAGATGTCCGCATTGTCCAATTATATAGGATAGACAGATACTATAATAGTCAGATAGCTAGGCCCTCTACATTATGAAGGGCTTTATAGGTGGAAACCAGCATTTTGAATTGTACCTAGAAGCCAAATGGCAACCTGTTGAGCTCACAGAGCATTAGTGTTATATCCATTACTACCCACCTCACTGCATTCTGGACCAGCTGTACGTGCTCTTCCATCCAGGACTAATCATGGAAAATTTCCAGGATTTGGGACCCTAAGTACCCATAATCCCTTAGTTTTGCTGTGATTGAGACTGAATGTATTCCTCTCTATCCAGATTCTCAGCCTTCAGTCACTGACAGCTTCACTCAGGCACCAGGATTGAAATGTACAATTGGAAAACATCAACAACTGACAAATGACCTCACTTAGTAACTTATAGATGTTAAACAGAAGGGTTTAAAATATTGAACCCTGAAGCATCTCCAGATGAGTAGCCATAGGCCGCACCAACACCAGCTAGAATTATTTGCATAGAAAAAACCAAATATAGTACAGCATCCTCCACTCCAGTTCAGAATGATACCCCAATTAATGGTGTCAAGGAGAATCATGTCAGTAGCATAAACCCAATCCCAGATCTACCTCTGGGATTGAGTGTATATCTCTTATCAGCCTATGGCAGAGATCTTTATCTTACAATATCCAAACCACAGTGATATTTTTTGTGACGTTCAAGAGATTATTCAGGCCAGTTCCCAACACTGCTATGTTCCACAGATGTCCAATGCAGGCATATCAGGAATGGGCAACCTTTTAAAATATTGGAACAGAACAGAACAAAGAACCCAGCTGTGCTGTCAAAGGTTGAACAAATATGGGGGAAATATCAAAACCACCAAATATAAATGGAAGAAATAAATGCACTATATTTGCCATCTTTAAATATGATGGAAGAAATTATTCATTACAGTTTCTTTCCTCAATTGATACACCTGCAGATGTTCATGTTTCCTTCAACTATAATTAATAATTTGTAAATAATAAACATAAATAAAAATATTTGTTCATATATACCTTTCGAGAATCCAATCTTAATGGTATGTTATTCATCTGCATCAAACTTTTAGTTAATGGGACACTATAGGGCCTTTTAGTTGATATTACTGCAGCTGGTCCATCTCCAGAAGCACCATTAGAGGCAGATGCTTTTGCCATTTTGTCCAATTTGTCATTTAGCTGGTTAATTATAAGTCGTTGCTCTACCATTTTTTCATTCTTGAAATGAAACAAAATTGCATTTATTAAACTACACAATTGCAGAACTTAAAGCCACTGAAATTTGGATTCAACTTAAATTTAAAATTGCAATCTTATATGCAGTTACATGGGAATAGATCTTGATAACTCTAATTATAATGTTCTCAAACTGCATTTATGGTTGTAATATTCTTTTTTGGTTCTTATCCTTGTTATTAAGCTATCATCTATAAGACTGATATAATTTTATATATATATTTCCTAAGTAACTTGCAGAAAACCTAAATTACCTGTAACCTATTTGTATCTTGTGCTTCCTTTAATGATTCCAGATATTCACGATTTTCTTGTATCAGCTTTTGTATCTGATCTTGCAATATTTTTATCTCCAGTTCTTTTTCACTGAAGACTTCTGCATCTGTTGCAAGAGCCTGCTAGGTAATAAAGAGAGAATAGGATAAATGACTGAACATATGAAATGGAAAGTTCTCTAAACTGCATTGTGAGGTTTGCTGCAAATACAAATGCTGCATTGTGAGGTTTGCTGCTGTAAGTACTGTATTGCATTAATTTTATATATTTTATCGTATATAACCCAAGTATAATATGCAAAAATTATAAACACATATTGTCTCAAACAATTGTGTATTTCATTTAAACCAACAAAGAAATTAGTAAAATTAGTAAAAAAAAAAAAAAGTCTTTGCCACTTTTTACATTTTGTTCCGATAGGGAAAATAATGTGTACTAATAGCACCCTGTTGTTTCCTTAAAATCATTCCTGCAAATAATAACATTACTTTGAAAAACATTCCTCACATTTCATGTACAATTTGAGATTTGAGATAGCTAAAAAGAGAACTACCATGACTGGAAAGGAAATTGAATTCTAATTGTGAATGGTGTAGTATTAATAACAGTTGTTCAGAAAGTTACTAATGGAAAAGTTCTCTTTCATCTTACATAATAATCTTCCTAAACATCTTTCCTTGTAGCAGCAGAAATGAGGAGAATTAAAGTCTATTTTCTTGTGTCACTACAATGCTTGGTACTGAACAGTACATCTGCCATCTGGAAACTGGCAAATAGAAGGAAAAATGAAAAAAGTAAATAAATAATCTAAAGAACAAATTAATTTTTAATTGATTTAATTACTTTCTTCAATTATAGTCCACTTGGCTATTAAAAGGAGCTACAATTAAATCTAATTTACTAAATCTAATTTTGTATCAATGGAGTTATGATGAGAAATAGAACTGGTATTCCTCTTTGCTGTCATAACTCCAAGAGGCATGGGAAGAGGTGGAGGTCTCAGATAAGGAGCTTGGGGGTGCCAGAGGGGAAACAAGGGGATAGCTGGTGTAGACTGTGTGTGAGCTGGGGGAAGATTAACATGGGCTGGTGCAGGCCACGTGCAAGCAGGATAAGTGCTGCAGATGGGACAAAAGCAGGATCAATTTGTGATCTTCTCTGCCAGCTTCCTCATCGACTTGGCTTGTGAAGCCGGCAAGGAAGGTCACAAATGGTAAACATATATCTGCAACTCATTGTGAGTAACTGCAAATCAGATATCCAAGAACTGGGATTTCTATGACTGGGAGGGGTGTTACGAGGACACAAACCTGGAGGACAAGTTGTACATCTATTTTTTCAGAGTCACCATAACTTTGATCACTAAACAAATGGACATAAGCCTAGAATTACCTGTACATGTTAGGTAGGAAGCAGATGTTTGAACCAGAAAATGGCTGATTGGTTTTCGGGCTAGCTTTTGTTCTGCAAAAGCCAAGTAGTCAGGCAGGGTTTGTATCACATTAAAGTAAGATTGTTACACTGTTACTGAGTTCTCAGGAGCCAGATAAAATATAGAATGTATCATATGAATATTTAAACCCTACTACTCCAGGGAATCCAATGTGCTCAACATCATTATAGTTTTGGTTGAACATTTCATCCTAATGAAATATATATCTGACAGTTTGCCATGCGAGTATTACCAGCCTTAGTCATACCCTTGCTAGATGTAGCATTATATGCTAATGATAAGGATAGCATGAATCAGTTTTGGCACATGTTGGCCAGCAAGCCACAAGCGCAGCCAATAAAATCAAAGTACACTTATGTTGTTCTGTGCAAGCTAGAATCTGATTCACAGACTATCTGGCAGGCTTTATCACACATCCCATTCTAAAGCTATACATGCAGTTTTCTCATACACAGTCAAATTTGTATTAAAAAGGAAAAAAGACAAAGCAACTTTAACACTTACTTATTAGAAGCAATTTCTAGTGATCAAGAAGTACATTTCCTATAAGTAGTATTACATGTATGTAGGTAATAATTTCGTACATTTTTAGTGTTGTGAAAATGGAAGGCAAAAGTACTGAACTACTAAAATGCAGAACTTTGGATAAGAAATACAAAATTCTAGATTTGAAGAAATTCCTTACTTTTACAAGAACTTTTAAAAACAAAATTCATAATGTTCAGCAGGTTCCCCTGATTATGCATAATGACATTTCAGAAAACTAAGAAGGAAAAAAGGCCTTTTTCTTCTGCTAATTTAAGATTCACCCATAACTATTTCAAGCTTATGTCCCACTAGGCCTACCCAATAATTTAATTAAAGTGCAGAACATTACTTCTATTAAAGTAGCTCTGATAAGCAGGATATGGAAATAAAAGAGCCATTTTTAATACCCAAAGGACACCATTTGTTTACAGTTAACATATGAGAAGAAAAAATCATGCCTCTGGATGTTGGATTTTATAAATTATATGTATACTGGTTGAGTCATAGAGCAAGGAGAAAGAGACAGGAACAATTGCAAACAAAGGAATTGTATGGAGAAACAGTTCATGCTGAAATGAAAATGAAATTTTAGCCAAGAGAAAGATAACAGAACCACTGAAGTTTTTAAAGAATGCTTCATTATTTGTCAGCTTAAAAAAATAGTAAAAAATGACAAATGATCTGTGTTAGAAAAAGCAGCTAGACAAGTTCCAAAGGATAAGCTGAAAGACTTCTCAGGCTGGGGATGACCTACCAAAACTCTGACCTTTGAAAGAAATCCATAATTCCCTGAGAAAAGATCTCTTCTGCTGTATTAATGATTGTACTAAATTGAGGTATTGTTCTCCTGCTTGTTTAACATGCCTCTCAAATTATTCTGTAGGACTGATCAAGCTGACATGTTGGAATGGGAGGCAAGGTAAACTCATTTGAACAAAACTGCCTTAATGTGCAGACAACACTTCTGTATATAATCCTTTGATTGGCCCTTAAATTAAACGTACAGTAAGTACCTGATATTTCTTCAGCTCTCTTTTAAGTTGAAGAATCGTGATATGATACGGTCCTTCTTGGTTGGTTACTGTTCCACTGTTCATCTGGGGAATAGATGCCTCTCTCCTAAGTTCCTGAGCTACACGGATCCATTCTTGTAGTTTTTCAAGTTGATTTTTTGATAGGTTGGCAATGTTTTTAAAATCAACAAGAAATAAATAAGCTTCTTCAATGCAATTTCGCAAATTAAAACTTTCGATTTGAAATTGAGCAAGCTGCTGTTCAAGACAGCGGATTCTATTTTTGTCTTGGCATAAATCTTGTGACCCTTGATTACCAGAGGACTGTCCATTAGTTTGTTGGTTTTGCAAGGCTTCCCGAAGCAACTTAATGGCAAGTTCCATTTCATCTATACGATCCCAGTCTGGGTTATAGTTGACAATAGGTTTGTTCCTAATATTTTTTGCTCTATTTGCATACTTGATGGAATTTAATGATTCATCAAAATCAGAAGAAGATGGACTAATACATGTTATCATGACAGTCTTTGCATTGCCTCCTAAAGAGTCTTTAAGGATACGTGTGATTTTAGTATCCCTATATGGAATGTGTGCATTTTTTCTCTTTGGGTCTCCAAGTGCACTTATCACATTTCCCAGAGCTAGTAAACCACTGTTGATCTGAATTGATTCTTTGAATCTTTCACCAGTGTTGCCAGTTTTTGTAACTCTTTCGGATCCCGCAAGATCTACAAAGTGAAACTTAGAAGCAATCTGCTGTCCTGAATTTTGGGGAGAATTTTGTGCACATTCTGTGTCCTTCTGCAAAGGTTGTTGTTGACAGACACTGATGGTAAAAACAGCATGGGATCGGCTGGAATGCTCATTCATTTGGGTTGTCCCTGTATGTCTAGCAGCATTCCCCGTTTCCAACAGGCTCATCACCTCTTCTGTACTTTCCACTTGGCAGTCTTTGGCACCGACAATTACTTAAACAATAAAGGTTATAAATATAACATTTTCAGAAAAATTCAGATTAAATTTTTAACAAATATAAGCAATCAAGTTATTTTTCAAACAAGAAAGAATTCATATAAAATACAATATAAAATAAGCAAGCATGGATGTGTGCAACAAATGAAGTTTTCATCCAAATGTATGTTGTGATATCACAGAGATGCTTTGCCTCTTATATACTTGTACTTAAGAACTAGTATTTGTATGTAGTATAACATACATACAGTTGTAGATTTGTAGATTATAAACTAATAGTTGAGTGGTAGTACAAATTCTTTACAAGCAAAAAGTCCCATTCAATGTCTGCTATCTTAGGTAGAACTGGGAAAAAAATTTGTCAGAAATCCTGGAAAGTCACTGACTGTCAGTACTAATGAGCTGGACAAATTGATGATCTAACCTAGTATTCTTACAATATTTTTAACTATACTCAATTGCATAAAAATGGTTGAAGAATCAATAGAAGGATAAGTAGGGAGTATTTTTGGATATGCCGATACTTGTATATAGCTGTATGAAAATTTCATATTTTATGATGATCCACTGTGCCTCTAAGTGAGATAAAAATGGAAAAAAACCTTAAATGGAGAAAAAAAATACTCATAGTACTACAATGGACATTTGGAAAAAACGCATGCATTGTTATTCTAGAAATATTCAGCTAAACAGTAACACTTATCTATGATTTTAATTTTGCTGAAAAATGATATTTTAATTATGACTGACATCAATTATTAAACATTGACAAAGACTATTAAAGTATTAAATTTAAAGTACAAATTACTTTACATAAAAATGAAAGTTACATTTCCTCTGAACAATTCAACTTTAATAAAATGAACTTAACATTATCTTAGAGGTACATCTGTAGAAAATATGAACATACATTTTAAAAATGTTTCAAAATTGTTAGCAAATAAAAATGTAGTTGAAATTTTTATTTTTACCTGTATTGCCCTTTTCATCTTCTCTAATATGCAAATCTTTCATAGAGGTCTCTAGTTCCAGGAGATCTCTGAGTTCTTCTTTATAGACTTCTATGTACGAAACTTTCACTGTAAAATCGGTATTATGGTTTTCAGAAATAATCTGAAATATTTCTTGAATTGCCCGTGGAATAATACCTCTCTCTTCTTCTGCAACCGATGCTAAAATGAGAAAAAGAATTTAATCCAAACACAGAGCTGAAACATGTAGACTCCCAAATATCATAGCAATACTGAATATGAAGTAAAAGGAATCTGAATGACTTTTATCTCAATATGCTATATATATATATATATGACACATTCAATTATCAGGGTCAGTCATACCAGCAGAGATAAAAATACAGGAAAAAAAAACTACTAAGCAATAACCAAACAAACCTAGGAAAATATTCAGTATCACACCGGGGGAAAAGGTTTACAGAAACCTACTTTCTTTTCTCCTTCCCAGAACACCACAGACACTTCAGAAAATTGGGATGAGGAGCTCTGGACTATGGCTTATTTTATTTATGGTGTGGTTTGAAGGAGAGGATACGGCTCCTGTTTGGGAGTGTTCTCTCCTTCTCCCTCAATCCCTGACTATGAGGAATAGAAATGTACTTCATAACTACAGTATGATGCTGGTTACCACCCCTAGTGTTATAGTCATGTGTAAAGTTTTAGGAAACGTATTCACAAGGAAAATGTCACCAGTATTTTAAAATAACACTGCAGTTCCTTTATCTACCATTTTATCTGACATATGTAAAAATAGCTAAGAAAAACATGTACAATACCCATTTATATTGGTGGCCTTCTTTCTTCAGCATTTGTATTAACTCGTATAAATATCACCATAACCAAAATTACTTTTTTCATTTCTAATATTAGCACTCTTAAGGAAAACTATGTATTCTAGGGGCAAAATGCCAACAAACACAGTGTAAATATGTTCTAGGTTAGAAGTAATAAAGCTAAATATTTCTTTTACAGAAAGGTATTTCTTGTAAAATGAATTTGTACAGTCAGTAGATAAGGAAAATATCATAGCCAGTGCCTACCTCCGTAGTCCTGTCTTGACCACCAGCTTTCCTGTATTCAAAATAATTGGCAATGGGCCTATTTAAATACAACTGTTTAGGATAGGATTCATACTTTGTATTAAGCTATAGTGTGGCTTGTCTTGATTCATGCGTTTTGCAAACAGTAGTTTATTCATGAAACAAACAAAGCATGTGTAAATTCATAGTTTGATTAAAAAGAGCTTCAATTTCATGTTATTTTATGAGGTTTCTTTATAATTAATTAGAATATTTAAGAGAAAATTAATCGCTACATAAAAAGGTATGCTCGATAAGAATAAAATATCAATAAATTAAGTTTATAATTATCATAAAATTTAAATAAATTTAAAACTCATTTATAATTATCATAAAATTTAAATAAATTTAAAACTCATTACATTGTCTTAAGAAATAAACAGACATCTCTATCAAGATATAAACATTTTAATATTGACATCATCACTGTTTGTCATATTCCAAAGATAGATCCATGTAACCACGTAAAGCAAAAAACGGGAAAGGAGAAAAAAAGGGGTTGTACTTCACATTATTTGGTAACTATATGAATTTAATTAAGCACCCTATATTAAAATTTATTTTAATACCAAAAAGCCACTTGGGACTATGCTAAACTCATTTTTCATATTAGCAGTATTTCATCTAGTAGACAGGTAGTCCTTGACTTATGACCACAATTGAGCCCAAAATTTCTGTTGTTGAGACATTTGTTAGTGAGTTTTGCCCCATTTTATGACCTTCCCTCAGTTGTTAAATGAAACACTGTAATTGATAAGTTAGTAACCTGGTTGTTAAGTGAATTTGGCTTCTCCATTGACTTTGCTTGTCAGAAGGTCACAAAAGGTGATCACATGACCTTGGGACACAGTAATGGTCATAAATATGAACCAATTGCCAAGCAGCTGGATTTTGATCATATGATCATGGGGATACTGTAAAGATCACAACTGAAAAACAGTCATAAGTCATTTTTTTAATAGCCATTGTAATTTTGAATGGTCACTAAATGAACTCTTGAAAGTATAGGATTACCTGTATTATTGATATTCCGTCATACAGTACATAGTGAAATTTTATCACCACTTTGGCGTCCATATTCATATCTGGTACTACAAATGTAGCAAGAAATAGAGGGGAAACAATATAGCACAATAATGAACAATACTCCTTCCTTCTGACCCTCCATACTCACCACAATGGCCTCATGTATATTGAGTTTGGATATACATTTTGTGACATCAGCACACGATGAATATACATAGGTGAATACATTTCTTACTAAAATTCATACTATCTTCCATTGACTATATACAACTGAACCTGCAGAATAGGCACCATTACTGAAATGTTTTTCTGTCACTTGAAGCTTCCAACACTAGAGAGCGCAGAAAGTTAGGAAGATGATCTTGACAAAGATATGCAGGAATTGTTACATGGACAAAAGGGGCTGAAGCATTTTTTAAAATCCAGAACAAAAAGATAACATTCAGAAGTGGTTCAGACAGATGCCTCTCTAATTCACTGAATTATGACGAGGAGCAAGTATAGAAGAGTTTCAAGATTCTTTTACTATAACCAATCTCAGTTCAAACAGTTTTAGCCTTTCTCAAATTGATTTTCCCAATATGGTCCACATAATGGGGCATCTGGCCTAAATTTGCTCTAAGAATTAATTGGAAGACTTCCCTTCTCACAAATTTGCATGGAACCGCTAAACTAGCTAAAAGAAGACAACATGGGAGACTTTATTTAATGTAATAGCTATTCCAAAATTGGTATCTTAGAAAGAAAATGACATTTGATAGAAATGCCTTTTATAAAAGTAAAGATTACTCTTAAAGTACCCAGTATAATGTTCTATAATAATTATCTATAATTATCTATAATACTATGGCTTTTGTTCATTTAAGCTAAAATATTTTAGACCAATAGT